AAGTCTACACAACTGAAAAGCCAAAAGGCAAACATAAGCATATCCGTTGAAGGTTGATAAACAATGATTAGGTTTACTTCCTGAATTATCTGACGGTTGCACTGAAAGCAGCAAGGTTCTCCAACCACCGCTCACAGCGGCGTATTGGTGGTTAACGGCCAATGCTTTTCCTAGCTGCACTTACCATCGGAATGGGCCTTTTTTTGCACTCATGGGGCCTTCACCTTGAGGCTGTCTGATAGTCTTGAAGTCATTGTCAAAATTATCTCGGCCTTGTTTTTGATTGTGCAACTGCTAAAGCTTTCAGCCTCGCGGTTCATTGCCGATATCGGCTAACCGGCTCAACACGTTATACGTGTGAGTGCTGAAAGCTATGGTACGTATACCATGAAAAGCTGAGTTGGAATGAAATGGTGCCCCGGTAGCGTAACTGGTAGCGCACTTGCCCGGAAAGCGAGAGGTGCGGGTTCTAGTCCCGCCTGGGGCGAAAGTTTTGTTCACAACCCAGCATTCTTGTGAAATATCTCGGCCCATTCCAAACATTTAATTCCAATCACGGCGGTAATTGTTACCTTTATCTTAATTTGTGTACAGGCCTGCCTAAGGCTCAACTCTGGCGAGGACGCGAAAGCGTGCTGGTGACGTCACAGCTGTCCCACTTCAGCGCTAGTGACGCCCATGCACAGCGCGTCACGTGGGACAGAGCCCGCATCGCTTGTCCCACAAATCTACATACTTACCTGAGGAGCGGGGTAAATAGCAAACTCCAGTTTTGGTTTCTTGCCATATTCCGTAGATAAGCGTTCCATGAGAAGTGACAAAAAACCAGATCCTGTTCCACCTCCGAACGAATGGAATACGAGGAATCCTTAAAGGCTTCAATTTAGCAATAACTATTTTCAATCGCACGACAGTTTTGAGTGTTTAGTGGTGTTGATCTGAGCAAGTTTTGGTTTTGTTGTTTTTCAAAGCTTTATCCTGGCCATTCCTCTACACCATAGAAACCACAACGCTAAGTGGGTTGGGGGGAGGGGAACCACGCGGCGGCGCGGCACTTTGCTCGCCTGGCATGTTTGCGTACTTGGGAAATCCGTGAGCCAGGGGGAGTGTAGGCAGTCTAGGGGGGTGGGGGGTGAGGGCAGTCACTTGACATGCGTGAAAAGCTGGAATGTTCGAGTTTACACTGTCTCGCTCGAGAGAGCCCAGGCGAGCAGACTGCCGCGCCGCCGCGTGGTCCTCCCTCCCCCCACACCCACCGAAACCACTTGTTATTCAAAGCACGTCGACATTCCCTCTGGCTGATGGATTTCTCGCTTTGCACTGAAGGGTGCGAGCACGCTGCGCACCGCGGCATGGTCCCTTCCATCCCCCTCCCAACTACCGGTGTGTAGAACTTAAAAGAGAAAGTATTTTCTGCATGTACGCCACAGCTATGTAACATGCAGCAATGAATTTTGAAATTTGAAATAACAGGAATCACAATACAACACTACAAGGGTCACTGAGGAAGACACGCACTGGTACGAATAAGACGACAATTTTTCGAATACAGCGATTACGCTGAAGTCACCGCAATTCAGGTGATCCTTCAGAAGGAAGCATGGTTCTTATCAGGTGAATGAGCGCCACGGACAATCTGTATGTTCTCTATCGCTCCTAAGCTACACAAAGTTGGCAAGGAATTCCTGTGGAAGGTTTCTCATTTTTCGAACGCCACGAATTAAAACTGTTGGACAATTACTGATTCATGTGGATGTGCTCCAATACTTTTCCCCAGTTCATCCGCATATGCCCCATCGAATCCGAGCAAAAGTAGCAGGCCAAGCCAGTCACCTAATATACAGGGCGGTGGGGCAAAAAAGACATTTTGCCTAGGTCGCACTTCGGCCTTTTTTCTTCGCAGAGATTGCCGTCGTTGACGGAAGTTCCTCAGCAAAGTATTCCCTAAATGTCCCTCTATAAGTACACGCAGGCCCTCCTTCACTACCCTCTTCAGAATATGACGTCATCTGTCACCGTCGTCGAGCTCAGGGAGGCCTACAGTAACTGCTTCAGCCTGAAGCTCTTACATAATTTCTTGGATCGATTCAACGTGGGATAGTTTCCTAGGGACATTAGCTCTAACTATGCAAACCCCTCGGAACCCGCCCTTCGGAACCCGTCGTAACGGTACACGATCAGTCGAGAACCCCATTGAGCTCGACCAGAGCACCATGTTTCCGGGGCAAACTTTTCTGATGCCGTCCACGTAGATGGCCACTATGAAGATTTTCTTATGAAATGAAATGCGCTCTTCAATTCTAAGTTGGGAGCACACGCTTTGAGCTGAGCAAAGTGTGATTAAATCCATTTGAGTCTGGAGACAAAATGTTTTTTTTATTGCCCCCCCCCCTCCCTCTGTATTAGTTACATTACAAGTGCTGCTTAGCGAGGCTCTTCAATGTATCGCACCTCGTTCTGTATGAAGATGAAGTTAGGGACTAAAAGCACCTAGGAGACGCGCATTGAAAAGGAGCACAGCATGCAATAACGTTAACCTGAAGTGTGCTCCATACAAAAGTGTAGAGATCAGAACGCCCTTTCAGCATCATGCCTCAAACCGTAACTCCTGAATGATCTCACTTACGATGAGGGTTCCAGGTGCATTCGTGTTCCCTCTTCGTGCCATGTGAGAGTTTGTCAAAATCAAAGCCCAGTCGAGGTTGGTCCTACTTGGTACCTACTTTAAAGCAACAATCCAAGAACGAATTTGCGGGCTAAAAGCACCTATATTGAAGTTGTAG